TCGTACAAAATGATCATATATTTTTAGTTCCTACAACACAGTATGAGCTTGGAATTGATGCGTGACCGACTGAAAATAAGACTGCGTGATGGTATCCCGCGGCGTGCGGCGTCGCTTTGCAATTTCTCAGAATTGAACTCTTTCTCAGAAGTCTTTAACTGTTTACCGTCTATAAAAAAAATTTGCAAATTTTTTATTTCCTAGCAACTATATACGGCGTCGCTTTACAGTTGATCAGAATTGAAGTCTTTAACAAAAAAAAATTTAACTGCTAATCTTTATTCCATAGGTACTATGATAATATTCCTTGTTGTTGTTAAAGTGACTTTAACCCTAAATCAATATTTTCAGTATTGATTCTACAGGAAGTAAATAGTTGAATGGTAAAATATGTTGATGTGGTTTGAGTGATGCATGCATCTTGAAGATATCGAGCTCTATTCTTTCAATATGTTTATAAGTGTGATGGTGTTTTTATTGTCCTTATCATTTTCTGCGGAGCCAGGTTCTTTTTCTACTACTTCTTCTTTTGCTCTTTTCTTCTCTCTACTCCTCCTTGTGTTCCTTCTTCTTCATCATCATCTTCACCGTTCTCGTCTTCATCATCATCTCCACCGCTCTCGTCTTTACAATCACCTTCTCCGTCTTCTTGTTGTTCCTGTTTTACTTGTCCTTGTTGTCGTTGTTCTTCTTCTTCTTTTCCAATATGAAAGTAGTCATTGAAACTGACCGTCAACTCGGACAACGATGTCTTGTCGTCCATCTCTTTTTTAACTTTTTGAACGTAATCATTTCTTATAATCGAAGTTTTTGATTTCGAACTTTTGGCACATCTCGATCAATTCTTTCAAGAATTGTGTGGATTCTTCATCCTCTTTTCCGTGGATTTCTGGATCAATCTCTAGCACAATGCACCTTACCTGTACACGCGGGCGATCATATTTGTATGTCACTGTGGTCGTATTTCCATCAGTCGACTCTACTTTTGTACATGTGACAGAGAAGTTTGTTAAAATCTCTATTACTTGGGTGAAGTCATTTCTGATGATAACCATCATGCTGTTTAATTCTGCTTGTTCTCCATA